TTTTATTAGGTAGGATAGATATCTGTTATTGTGATTCCTCCAACTTTGTATTCCTGTCTCAAGATTGTGGCTATTCAGAGTCTTTTTTTAGTTCCAAATAATGTTTGGATTATTTTTTTTCTAGATCTGTGAAATATGCTATTGATATTTCAATAGGGATTGCATTGAATTTATAGATTATTTTGTATGAACATTTTAATAATGTTGATTCTACCAATCCATGAAAATAGTATATTCTTCCAATTGTTTATACTTCTTCTATCTCTTTTTTTCAATATCCTATAGTTTTCTGAGTAGAGGTCTTTTACCTCCTTGGTTAAGTTTATTCCTAAGTATCTTATTTTTTTGTTGTTGAAATTATAAATAGAATTATTTTTTTTTCATTTCTCTTTCTAAGAGTTCATTATTGGTATATAAAAATTCCATAGGTTTCAGGGTGTTAATTTTGGATCCTGCTACATTGCTGAATTCAGTTATTAAATCTAGTTGTTTTTTTATGGAGTCTTTAAGTTTTTATTTATGTACAATATCATGTCATCTGCAAATAATGAGTTTTACTTCCTCCATTCCAGTTTGGATGCCTTTTATGTCTTCTCTGTCTGCTATGGCCAGGAATTGCAGTACTATGTTGAATAAGAATGGTGAAAGAGAGCATCCTGTCTTGTTCCTGTTCTTATGGGAAATGGTTTTAGTTTTGGCCCATTGAGTATGATGTTGGCTGTAGTTTTGTCATATATAGCTTTTATTATGTTGAGGTATGATCCCTCTATTCCTATTTTGCTGGGAGTTTTTTATGAAAAATGGTATTGGATTTTGTCAAATGCTTTTTTGACATCAATTGATACCATCATGTGATTTTTGTCTTGCGATGTGTATCACATTAATTGATTTACAAATATTGTATCAGCCTTGCATCTCTGAATAAATTCCACTTGGTAATGGTGTAGGATATTTTAATGTAATGCTGGATATAATTTGTTAATATTTTGTTAAGGATTTTAGCATCTTTGTTCATCAGGGATATTGGTCTGTAATTCTCTTTCTTGGTAGTGTATATCTGGTTTTGGAATTAAGATAATGCTTACCTGATAGAAAGAGCTTGGAAGTGTTCCTTCCCCTTTAATTTTTTGAAATAATTTGAAGAGGATAGGTGTTAGGTTTTATTTGAATGTTTGATAAAACTCCCCCTGTGAAGCGACCTGGACCAAGGCTTTTGTTTGCTGGAAGATATTTTATTATTGCTTCAATTTCATTGTAGTTATCAGCCTATTCAGGTTGCTTCATTCTTCCTGATTAAATATTGGAAGATTGTATTTTTCTAGGACTATGTCCATTTTGTTCAGATTGTCTAGTTTGTTGGAATATAGTCACTCATAGTATTTTTTATGAGCCTTTGTATTTGTGTGTGCTCAGTTATTACTTCACCTCTTTCGTTTCTGATTCAATAAATAGTGCTGTGAAAATTGGACAGGTATATACAAAAAATGAAACTAGACTGTTAGGTCTGATCAAATAATTGAATCGACAACTCTCCTCCCGAGAACTGACTTTTTAGGTCATTTAACTATGGACATTCCCTTTTGTTGAGACCACATTTTACTTGCTGAGACCACGTTCCATTATCTCTCCCCTCTGGACCAGCACAGAGAATTACCCACCCAGAAAAAGCCTGCCAAAAGTCCTTTAAAAACTGCTGACTCCCATCACTGGGTGCTGGAGCCAACTAGGCTCAGCCACTTGGTGTGTGGATGATTGCATAAATTCGTAATCCATCACCATTCTGGCCTAGTGCATTCCTCCTTCTGCAACCTAATATTTGGTGCCAGAAACCCAGGAGGGTTCCATGGGATGGGGAGCCATTGCACCGGTTTTGGTAATGCCACGTTTGCTACTCGGATTGCAGTAGGCAGTGGCAGCTAGACTTGGCTTACCTCCGAATCCTACTTGGTAAGGATTAGTAACTACATTGCCTGCCTCTATTAGGCCTCCTTCCCTTATAGGCCCTCCTGAACTGAGGAAGAAGAGCCGTTGTCCTGGCTCCCATCACCCTGAGTTTGCTACTCAGATACTTGATTGCAGGCATCGATCAGGCCTTCCTCCCTCACAGAATCCCCCACCCCTTGTATTTTATTTATTTATTTATTTTAAATTTATTGTTGACATTGTGACAACTGTCCCCCTTTGCCTCATCCCCTAGGCTCCCCCCCAACTTTCACCACATTGTTGTCTGTGTCCATGGGGTATGCATATATGCATATAAGTTCTTTAGATAATCTCCTCCAGTCCCCAGCCTCCTCCTCTCTGAGATATGTCAGTATATTCCATGTATCCATGCCTCTGGTCCTATTCTGTCCATCAGTTTATTTTGTTCATTAGATTCCATATATAAATGACATCATATGATAGTTCTTTTTCTCTTCCTGGCTTATTTCACTTAGCATAATAATCTCTAGGTCCATCCACTCTGTCACAAAGGGTAAAAGTTCCTTCTTTTGTATACCCACATAATATTCCATTGTGTAAATGCATCACAACTTTCTTATCCACTCATCAACTGATGTGCACTTGGGCTGTTTCTAGATCTTGTCTATTCAAAATAACACTGCTATGAACATAAGGGTGATATAACCTTTATGATTGGTATTTCAGAATTCTTAGGCAATGTTCCCAGATGTGAGATCACTGGGTCCAATTTCACTTCACATTTTTTTGAGAAAACTCCATACAGTTTTCCGCAGTGACTTTGCCAGTCTGAATTTCCACCAGCAGTGCACTAGGGTTCCCCTTTCTTCACATCCTCACCAGAACTTGGTGTTTGTTGATTTATTGATGGTAGACATTTTAGCAGATGTGAGGCAATATCTTATTGTACTTTTAATTTGCATCTCTCTGATGATTATTGACAGTGAGCATTTTTTCATGTCTATTGGCCATTTATATGTCCTCTTTGAAGATGTATCTATTCAGGCCCTTTGTCCATTTTTTTATTGGATTGTAATTTGGTGCATCCATTACAAAAAACAATATGGTAATTCCTCAAAAAATTAAAAATTGAGCTGCCATATGACCCACCAATTCACAACTGTGTATTTATCTGAAGAAATAAAAAAAAATACTCATTCGTAATACTATATAAGAAAGAGGTAATACGCAAATTGACTGTCATGCCTTCACACAAGATGGTCACCACCATGTGGTCACAAGATGGACACCACAAGATAGTAGGGGAGGGCAGTTAAAGGTGACTGGGCTGGCAAGGGAGGGCCATTGGGGGCAATTGGCCTGGCAGGGGAGGGCAGTTGGGGGCAACTGGGTCAGCAGGGGAGACAGGTGTCAATCAGGCTGGCAGGGGAGTGGTTAGGTGATGATTAGGCTGGCAGGCAAAAGAGGTTAGGGGCAATCAGGTAGGCAGACAGGTGAGTGGTTGGGAGCCAGCAGTCCTATATTGTGAGAGGGGTCTCAATTGGAGAGACTGCAGGCTGGGCTGAGGGACACCACCCCAGTGCACGAATTTTGCACCCAGCCTCTAGTGATATATAAAACCCTACATTCAGTGCAGCGTGACTTACAATAGCCAATATATGAAAGAAACCTTGGTGTTCATTCATAGATAAATGGAGAAATAAGATATGGTATGTTTGTATGTGTAATGAATATCACTGAGCTATAAAAAAATAATTAAATCTTGCTTAAAGGGTATTATGCTAAGTCAAATAAGCCAAATGAAGAAAGTTAAGTACCATACGATTCCATTTAAATGTTAAATCTAAAGAGCAAAATAAACAACAATAAAAATACTACGTGTCCATAAAAAATAATTCCTACATTGTGACAGCATGGATAGACCTGGAGATTAATATGGTAAATGAAATAAGCTAGTCAAAGATAAATACCATATGATCTCACTTATATATAGAATCTAATGAAAAAATAAATAAACTGATGAACAAAATAGAAATGGAGGCATGGATACATGAAACAGACTGACAATTGCCAAAGGAAGGAGAGAGATTGGAACTGGATGAAAGAAGGTGAAGGGATTAGCCAAAAAGACATATATGGATGGCCCATAGACACAGACAATAGTGTGGTGATGGCTAGAGGGAAAGGGGGTGGGCGAGAGCTGGGTGGAGGTGGATAAAGTGGGAGCTGGGGACATCTCTAATAGTGTCAACAATGAAAATAAATTTAAAAAATAAAACATGAACATACTCTAGATACAGATAACTAACTGAGGATTGTCTGATGAAAGTGGCATTGGAGGGCTAGGTGGAAAAGGTAAAGGGATTAAGGAGTAAAAATTTGTAGTTACAGAATAGTCACACTAATGTAGAATACAGCATAAGGATATAGTCAATAATATTCTACAACTATGTACAGTACCAGATTGGTACTAGACTTATTGGGAGTACTACTTCACAAATTATATAAATGCTAACCAGTATGCTATACAACTGAAACTAATCTTACATAATGAAACTCTAATATGCTAATCAACCAAACAGTAGAATGACTAGTCACTATGACATGCACTGACCACCAGAGGGCAGTCGCTCATTGCAGGAGCTACCCCTTGGTGGTCAGTGTGCTCCCATAGGGGGAATACTGCTTAGCCAGAAGCTGGGCTCAAGGCTGGTGAGTGCAGCAGCAGTGGCGGGAGCAGGCCTAAGCTGACAGGCGGACATCCCCTGAGGGTTCCTGGACTGTGAGAGGGCACAGGCCTGGCTGAGGGCAACCCCCCCCCCCCAAGTGCATAAATGTCATGTACCAGACCTCTAGTATAAAATAATATTGAATGTCAACTTTAGTCGAAACAATTTTTTAAAATTAAAAAAAGAAATCAGCATCATAACTAAAGCTTATTTTTTATAATTAACAGTTTTCAACCAGATCCTAGATCTCAGGCATTCCTAGAATTTAACATCACCTGTATGACTAGCAGCCCCACTCATTTACAGCTTATGAGGTCACTTTTACCACAGCAACTCCCAGTGCTATACCTTTGCTTTTTCTCCATTTGTCACTACCATCTCCTCAATTGACAGGATCTTGTTGCTTATAGGGAGATAATTTTTCATAGTCTCATTAGAAAGCTGGATCCGCTTGCCCCGTTCCATACACCTGGAAAAGAATGAGATTGTATTTACAATCTAGTCAATAAAAAGGGTATGAAGCATAACAATTATTGCAGATAGTGTATCTTATAATCTGTGAAGATATCACAAAAATTTAGAAGGCAAAATGGTCAGGGAAGGTCTATCTAAGAATGTAACATTTGAACAGAGTCCTACAAGAAATAAAATATGACTCATAAAGATTGTCACAAATATTTCTGGGGAAGATGGAGGGTAGAAAAAATGTAAAGGTCCTGAGCTAGCAACATGCCTGACGTATCAGAGGAGCAAGGAGTCCTGTGTAGCTAAAAGTCCATCAGCATAAGAGTAAATATTATTGTTTTTAATCTAATAGAGGCCCAGTGCATGAAATATAGACTAGTATGACTTCTAAAATAAAGTAGGCACTCAATAAATCTTTACATAATGAAAACTTCCTTATGAAAATTCGTGCACTGGGGGAGATGGGTCACCTCAACCAGATCTGCCCCATCTCACAGTCCAGGAGCCCTCAGAGGATGTCCTATTGACAGCTTAAGCCCGTTCCCCCTAAGCTACAGTCTGGCCTCCCTCTGTGGGAGGCAACCAAGCTGATCAGGGGAAGGTGCTGCCCCCATCATCCTACTGCTGCTGCCACTACTGGCTGCTGTGGCCACCTGCCCTTGGCCCTCACAGCCACCACAGTTTTGTCCAAAAGGATGTCCAGTCTATCTAGTCTAATTAGCATATTACCCTTTTATTAGTATAGAAGATACCCATTTTTCAAGGCTGATATAGAATATGAAGCCCTGTAAAATTTTACTACACTGGTGTCTTCTCCTGAATGAATGTTCTTACTCTGAACCTTAAGCAAAGAGATTAGGTTTATGAGAATTCTGGGGAGCTGTTGATCAGCCCAGATATCCAGAAAAGCATATTACTACAGGGAATGATAATGTACTAGACTTATACGCAGCAAAACTGCAATTCAATTCAAGCACTGCTAGAATTCAGCTCACTTCCCCTTTTCTGAGACTGTTTCTTAAACTGTTAAATGGAGCTAATATTAGTTACAATATGGACTTATTTGGAGATATTAATAAGCACTTGAAATGTTCTGTAAGTATAGACTGTACACAAAGTTTCAATGACAATATGAAAAAATACTAAAATATCTTATTCATATTTTATATTGATTGGTTATGAAATGACAAATTTTTGATATATTGGATTAAATATATCAAAAGTTTACTTTTTTACTTTGTATAATGCAGCAACTAGAAAATTCAAAGTTCCATATGTGGCTTAGACTGGTGTCTGCATTATTTTTCTGTTGCATAACTGTTTGCATAACTGGCTCCTTTTGTTTAAATTTGAGGTTAAGTATTTTTCCCTCATAAAGTCTTTGTTTTCTAAAATATGTCATTTTTGTTTATTCAAAGTAGGTCCTGCCCATTATACTCCTTTTTTGTCGTTTATATACAATCAAGGTTTGAACCTCTAAGAAAACTCATGATATGGGTACTATTTGCTCCATTCAATTTTCATACAAATGTGAGAAATATAGACTAGTATGACTTCTAAAATAAAGTAGGTACTCAATAAATGTTTACATAATGAAAACTTTCTTATGAGATATACTTGGAAAAGGTATTTTCTTTTTTTTTAATATATTTTTATTGATTTCAGAGAGGAAGGGAGAGATAGAAACATCAATGATGAGAGAGAATCATTGATTAGCTGCCTCTTGCACACCCCACATTGGGGACCAAGCCAGCAACTTAAGCATGCAACCTGGCTGGGAATCAAATCCTGACCTCCTGGTTCATAGAGGTGAAGTGATTTTCCCCAAATCCCAGAATAGTCAGTATTTTAAGAAAACTTCATCAATGTTCATCTATCTTTTACCACCAGACCTCCCTACAGGCTTGACATATGAGACAAGCTCTCTGCTTTACCATAACTCTGAAAGAGTCGGGAGGCCAGTCTACTCAGGTTTGAGACACACCAGCCACGGACAAAAGGCTTTCTCTCAGGGGAGTGTTCACTATACCCTCCTCTTTTCTTCCAAATAGAAAGGTGCAAGAAAAAAAAAAGTAACTGGATTTACTGCATCTCAGCTAACTGAGAACAATGGAAATCATTTGGGAGTTACTGAATGTCACAGTAAGGAAAGGTGGCAGGGCAGAACCAAAATAATTAAGTGGCTAGGACCACTGTTATTCTCCCCATCTAAAAATCTTACCTATGTGTAGGCAGGAAGCAACTGAGTGGAGCTTGTTTATAAGAGCTGGCTGAAAAGTACCTGTGAGACATAGACTGCCAGCCACTTCTATTTGAAGATCTAGGTCTTGGTCTGATAACTATACCCCATTTATTTTCCATCAAATCAAGGCCACATCTTAATGGTCTGGGCCTTCAAAATTGGATTTCCTAAACATTCCCATTCAGAGTTTAAATATCCCCTAGTGATAACCTCTAATTCATTATCATGTTCCTAAAACTCAACCTTCAGCACAGTGTAGCACTGAGTTAATAAGATGAACTCTCCTGGTCAGCTAATATGTAATCCTTCAGACAACAAAAAAAACCTGAGTGGACTGGCCTCCCCACACATTCAGAGTTATGGTAAAGCAGAGAGTTTGTCATATATGTCAAGCCTGTAGGGAGGTTTGGTGGTAGAAGATGGATGAACATTGATGAAGTTTTCTTAAATACTAACTATTTTGGGATTTAAATTTTCCTTTTATTTTTCCTTTTATTTTTTCTAATTTTTAAAAATTTATTTATTAAATTTTGAGAGAGAGAGAGAGAGAGAGAGAGAGAGAGAGAGAGAGAGAGAGACTGACTTTCTCTTCCACTTAAATCTTCAATCATATTGAGGGAAACATCAATTTGTTGTGCATTCATTGGTTGTTTATTTTATGTGCTCTGACTGGAGATCAAATCCACAACCTTGCCTAAACTGGTTTGGCTCAGTGGATAGAGAATTGGCCTCCGGACTGAAAGGTCCCAGGTTTGATTCTGGTCAAGGGCATGTATCTTGGTTGTGGGCACATCCCCAATGGGGGGGGGGGGGGCTGTGCAGGAGGCAGCTGATCAATGCTTATCTCTCATCAATGTTTCTAGCTTTCTATCCCTCTCTTTTCCTCTCTGTAAAAACTCAATGAAATATATTTAAACATAAAACCCACAACCTTGGCATTTCGAGACAACACTCTAACTAGCTGAGGTACCCTGGACAGAGTATTTTTTTCTAATTCTTATAGGGACAACAGGTGGCTCATTGTCCCAAAGGTGACTGAAACAGAGCAAAAATCAAAGTATCTAATATGTTCCAAGCATATGATAGGGCATTTATAAATGGAAGCTCTTAAGTGGTAAGAGTCAGGATGCCTGGCTCTCATTGTGAAATCCTCTTGACTTCTGTGTTGTGTCAAGTGAGTCATTTATCTCCCTAAGCCTCCATATCTCCATTTGTTACTGGGGAAGAAGAATCTCTGCCCTACCTTCTCCACTAGGATCACAGAAGGCTAAATGAGTGTGCTGTGATCTAAAAATGCTATTTGCTAACAGATTTTCCCATTGTAGGATTATTATTTCAATCAGTTCTCAAATTAGTGAGACATGTCCACTTTTTATCTCCATTACTGATTTTTTCCCATGCAATGACAAATATTTAGAAACCTGTCCCATTCTATTTCTCTTCCACTTAAATCTTCAATCACAATCTAAATTTCCCAGGCCTGTGATTCAAAACAATTACTTCTACCTCTAATTTGAGGCTGTAACAGTGGCCAAAACCTGGTGTTTGGTGGCTATTGGAGTACTACCTCTTCTTTTAAATTCCAGGCCCCATTCCACGATTACTGACAGTACATGTGATATTATATGGAAAATAAAATCTCCTGGTAAGTTCTTAAGACTGCCAGTCCCTTGTGCCTGCAACAATAAACCCGAGAGTCTGTGCCATACAGGGTCCTTTGGCCTGCAAGTCACTTACAACTCATCTTTCTGGCTGCAGGGCTCCCAAGCCCACATAAAGGAGGGCACAGGCAGGCCACTTGCTGTACAGCGAAGGGTGTTCTCACTGCCTAGGAGTATTGGCTGAATGGTCTTCAAATCTGTATCCTTCTCGTAGATCTTGGGTTTTTCTGGACAAAAGGAGAAAATGACAGAGATTAAGGTCCCACATCAGGGCTGATATTTTAACTGTGCTACCATTACAGGAATCCAAATGGTTAGAATATTGAAATATTTCTACATCAGTTTAAAAATACTTGCTGCCCCTAGCTTTCTAAGTGCCTTCTCCTCACTACCTATCCTGGTCCCTCCCCATGAATAGACCCTCCCCCCCTGTTATCCCTGTGACCAAGCAAGTCAAAGGTTAATATCTGATGCAACAGAGACATCTAACATTCCATGCTTGCACTAAGCATGACCTGGTTGGTAAATCCTGTGCCCTACTTGTGATTATTTTCAATATTTCACCTCTTGTAAGTATAAAAGAGTCCTATTGAATAGAAGCAAATCCAATGCTCCAAGTGGCAGAAGGTGTGTTTTTCAAAATAATATTTTGGATTGGTAGTTTACTAAAGGCAGACTGATATCAAGTTCACCTCTGCACCCTGGGCACAAAGTCATGTCTAAGAGTTATATGTTGAACTTAATTGCAAAAGCTAACAGTAGTTGATTTTTTTATTTTCAGTAACATTTATTATTTGTATTTGGATTTAAGAAAACCACCAACAATAATAATGTTCTGCATGATTTGCAGGAATCTCATTTCTGGGTTCCCTACCTATATATCCAACTGCTTGCTTTACTTCTCTAGTTGAATGATAATACTAATAACATCAATGCTATTAATACTAATAATTAACTGACCTAGGTGCAAGGCATTGCTTTGAGTACTTTATATGCAAATAAATTCATTTAATCCTCACCCTGTGAAGTTGGTACTGTGTTTATCCCTACTTACAGATAAAGAAATTGAAATATTAAGTATCTTTCAGAAAGTCACTCAGCTAGTAACTGGAAGAGCTGGGTTATGAACTCTGGTAGTCTATCTTTAAAGCCTTCTCTGTCCCATAAACATCACAAATTCAATATTTCTAATAATAATAATAATAAAAAATATCAAGCATATATAGCCCTTACCAAGTCTTTGGAACTGCTTTTAAATTCTTTTTATAGTTAGTATCTCATTTAACTTCATAACATCAAATAGAGCTAACAGAAGGAATACACTTCTGTTAGCCCTATTTTACAAATGAATAAACTGAGATGTAGAAAGATGAAGTAATTTGCCCATGGTTGGTAAAGTGAGTAATTAAACCTAGATAATATGACTCAAGCACTTAGGTTTATAAACACTACCTTGTGCCTCCATTCAAATATAAAACTCCTCATTTCCCCTCCACCCTATTCATCTTCATATCAGCAATCTTTTCAGTCATCTCAGTCAGAAACTCATTTATCATACTTGAACTCTCATACTCCCTTACTTCCACATTCCACCAATCACTACAAGAACAAAAACTCAGTAACAGTTGAAACTCTTATCAGTGTTGCTCCCCACTTTACCTCCATATTTTAGTACAGTCATTGCTGAGTACATTCTAAGTGCTCAATAAATTCATGTTTGAAAGTGTTAGTCCAGAGTCCTGTGTCATGTGATGGACAGAGCAGAATTCCATTCTGCTTTCCAATGTTGCTGCCTTTAATGTTGCTGCCAGATCCTCAAATCTTATAAAAAGTGGGGATATGGTTTGGTAGTTTGAATGTTCCTATTTAAAACTAACCTGGATGTGCTTCTTCATTGAAAATGTAAGAGTTAACAGTCAGGCCTTTACTACATTGACAACAAAAAATTTTCAACATGATGGGTTGGAGGACAGACTAATCAGGTTTCCTTCTGCCTTGTTTAATATATTTTTTTCCTGGGGATTGTAAACACAAACTGTTGCCCACTGATTCTCCCTTGGCAATCTGCCTTCAATTTTCCTCCCACTCTCTCCTTCTCCCCTCCCAGGACTGACCAACTTTAGCTTGTAGTCCAAGATCAGCAATATCTTTCCCTTCCTGCTTCTTGTGGCTGTTACATCAAACTCTAAAAGGGTTCTCACCTTCTTTAGACTCAACACATATCTCTTGATGAGAGTGGAATAACTGGAAAGTTGGCTCTTTCAGCCTGTGTAACACCAAATTATAGGAAAAGAACCTTGAATATAAATGTGTGTCTCTGGCTGAGAATAATACAGCCCTTGAACCTGTGGTCCTCATAATAACTAACTCTAGCAATAGAATGTCTATTCCTGGCTCCATATGGAGTCAGACCCACCTCCCCCTTGCACAACTTCCTTGTTCTACTCCTGTTCCTTTGTTTGAAGCAAGTAAAATAAGGACAGTCACAGGATTTCCTCTGGCAAATTAATTTTAGGAACAACATGTATTATCCCCATTTCCATGATCTCAGAGATTTTTTTTTCTTCATTGAGCGTAATCTTGCCTCTAGTATTAAGGAATGAAGGAATATATGACTGACATATCAAAAACAAGGTTGTGGTTTTTGTCTTTCAATGGGATAGACCCATTTCCTTTCCAAAGAATTGTGGAAATAATTACTAAGTTTGCTTTTGGTTGGTGTTTCATGAAGAATAAATACACCTGAGAATGAGAGGATGAATTGATATATGAAATAAAAAATCAAGCTAAACCCAAAGAGTACAGGTGGAGAATTAAGTCTAGCAAGGCTAGTGTCACCCTTTAAAGTTCTGGAATATTTAAATTCATATAAGCACTGATTGAAAATACTAGGGCAGATGTATCTTCTCCCAATCATAATTCTAAGTCCCTTTACCTAAACACATCTAGAGTTGCAGGCATACTCATCTTAGAATAGAACAAGTATGCTTAAGTCACTGTGACCTTGAGTCAGTCTCTTCCCGTCTTGAACTTCAGTTACCCAATCTGCCAGACCGGGAGTGGCTTGAATTTTAATAGTTATTGTTTCTCCTTCAATAGGATTTTTGTGTCAGTTTTAGTCTACATGATTCTTACCTCATTTAAAAAGTATGTATTGAGTGCCTCAAGGGTTCTATAAAACCTCGTGGGTTTAATAATCTCAAGTAATGTGTAATGAATATCAGGTAGTGAATAAGGCACTGCTTGTACAACAATATTGGTACAAAAGTCTTTTTATTCCTCAGAATTCTTGGCTTTCCTAAGAATGTCTTATAGAGCTCCAGGAAGACAGTGGAAGCTCAGGACCAAATATTAACTCTTTTCACACCCATGGGATCCATTGTTTTAAATGTATTTACAGCCACATGAGAATGACAACCATCCCATTTCCAACCATTGTTTTATAATTTCCCTGAATCACAAACATGTCAAGAAGGCCCCAAAGGACTCAGAAGGCTAGCTCCTGCATAATAATTCCAAATATACATATTATTTAATTATGTCCTTCAAATTTGGTTGGGTAAACTAATCACCATCATGGTACTTAGTAGCCTAGAAAGCCAACACTGATTGCTTAAGCTAATTCTAGCAACAATTTCTTTTGGAATTAAAAATAGCTAAGTTGGGGCAAGTTGTCTCAAGATTCCACAGAGCTGAGAACTTTAAGAAAGCCCATCCAGTTTCTTTAGTCATAAATATATTTTCAAATAGTGACATCATTGAATGAGCCTAGAATGGTAATAAATATCATTTAAATATGCAAATAATCATGGGGAAGATCCCAACAATAATGCTTTTTTTTATTGTTTAAAGTATTACAAATAGTAGTACATATGACTCCTTTTCTTTCCCAATTTACCTTCACCCAGCCTCCTCTACCACCCCGCAGCACATACCTTCACCCCACACCCAGTATCTTGCATCTATTGATTATGCTTATTTGCATGCATACAAGTCCTTCAGTTGATCTCTTTATGCCAACCTGAGGACCAATATTCCAATAAAGAAGTCAGCTAATTGTGCATTATTATGTGTATTGCAGGTTGAGTGAAGAGAGTTGTTTAATGATAGATCTTCCCTTCCTCCAGTTGGACAGATGTAAACCCACCTGCGGCCAGACATACCGGAGCACTGAACCACCAATCAGCACCTGCCAAATACCCTAAGCTCCCCAATTCCTATGTCCCTAGGTCCCTAATCACCAATAGCGTGTGCTGGGTGCCCTAAGCTCTGTCCCCTATCCTCACCTTAAAGGTGCTTGTACCCCGCCCCTCGCTCTCTTCCGGACCCTTTCTCTGGAAGCAGCTGGCAGTGGTACTCTTCTCTCCAATAAAGCCTGTGTCCTGCCATCCCGATCTCTGGTCCTTCTTCATTTCATCTTTTATTTTAAAAAGTGTATTTGAGCAGAAACAAAAATCATGTTTCAAATAGTCATGAGGATGAAGTAAGACCATGTATCCAAAAGTATTTTACAGATTGGCCTAGAAGCTGGGTGTGGGGATGGGGAGTACACCTTTAACCTTGTCTAGTAGAGAGAAACTGATGAGATTCATGATGCTACTCAAGTTCAGACCCCTAAGAGGATAGATTGTGTTGCTTCTGCTTCACATGTCTATGAAGAAAATTCCTGAAAGCAATTTCAGAACTTCAAACTGATAGGTGTAGCTTGGATTTTCTTAAAATTACAGGGGCCCCAACAAAAGGGGTCAGTATTTTTTTAAAAATATATGTTTTATTGATTTTGTACAGAGAGGAAGGGAAAGAGATAGAGAGTTAGAAACATCGATGAGAGAGAGTCATCGATCAGCTGCCTCTTGCACACCCCTACTGGGGATGTGCCCGCAACCAAGGTACATGACCTTGACCGGAAACGAACCCGGGACCCTTCAGTCCCCAAGCCGACGCTCTATCCATTGAGCCAAACCGGTTTCGGCAAAAGGGGTCAGTATTTAATCATCTCAAATAATGTGTAATTAAAAAACAGAAATGGCCTTTCTCTGAATTGAAAATAAAACACTGGCTCTTCCACTAATCATCTTACGCACTCACCTGCCCCAAGTATACAGGTCAATGTGAATTTACACCACTCCTAAAATCCTTGTAATTTCCCAAGTAATTAAAACACTAGGAACATTTTTTTGTTCTAATATTTGGTCTTTGACCCTGGTTCCTGATATGAAGCTGAAGA